GCCGTTGATTTGTTGTGGTAATGACTGGTGTAAGTGGGTTTGGTAGCAGAAAACCCAATCTGGTCTTCAGACATTTCCTCTGGGTCGAAGTAGTCCCCAGTTGGTCGAAGGCCAGGAATTGCGGCCACATCGAAGAGAGTGGGCGTAACCATTCCACAAGGCAAGTGGAAGGTATAATGAGTGTAGTCCCAAAACAGCAATGAAGCTACCAGCATGTCGGGACAGTAGTTAAGACCAGTTTTGGACAACATGACCTTGTCATAAATGCCCATGCCTTTCCAAATCGAAGCCTGGCACTCCTCCATCTTGTTGAGCCAAGCGGTATATTCTGGTGTAAAGCTAGGGCTAGATCGAAAAGCCCTAACCCCCTGTTAAAAAACCGAAGATCTATTTTCTCTTTCGCAGGATCTTCAGTATCATCTTTCGCCTTCTTTGAGCACCCAATGGGTTTGAGTGCCTCATGCGCGGGGAAGAAACCCTTAATTTTTATGGGGTCAGTAATGCATGTTGAAAGAGGGCCTGACATGGCAAAAACCTGGTTGGAATACCCAACGGGAATTAGCAGTTGAGAGTCATAGGTTTTGCGCTCAGCATCACCCATGGGTTCAGGAACCCTCCACATTCCCATAGAATTAACTACCGGAACAGTTGAGAAGGTTTCTGGTTGAGCAGTCTTGGAGAGAATGCTAGCTCTTGGGGCATTGGGAGCACGAGTATGTGAAGCCATTTTGGTTTGAATGAGGGTGAATGAAGAATAAATATTACTGGGTTTGAGAGGAAGAAGCAAAGGGCTGTTTGCAGAAGATTTCGTTCGATCGAAGGTTTGGATGCGAGAAAGCGTAAAGAGTCCAAATGAAGCACTTAGTGCTATTTATAGTGATTGGAAAATCACAGGGCTCGAGGTCATTTAATGCCACAGACGGGAGTGGGGCACGTGGCGCGCATTGGCGCTGTAACCGTTCTGAAAAACAGAAACGTTGCAGCATGCTTCCTCGGTTTCAGAGAATGGCCATGATGACAGCGTATGAAAGGTCATCGTGCGTGCGAAGTGCCTTACTGAAGTGACATCTTGGGAAAAGTTGAAATGATGATTTTTTGAGATTGTCAGATGGTTGGTAGGAGACGAAAAGCGCACAAACTAATTTGTGGCTGAGAGTGAAGGACATGTGTCGAATGGAATATCAAAGAATGCCACTTTCTTCTAAGCGTCGAAATAAGACATTCTTGGGGGGCAATTTGTTGGCTCCTAAATTCGACACCCACGTTCTATTATCATATAGATCATTAATTATGAGTTAGAAGAGTTTCCTACACAAGAAGGCTTCGATCAACTGATCACATCGAAGGCTTATCAAAGAATGACAAGATACTTAGAGAAATTTCTCTAAGTTGGAATCATGTTGTTTTCAATGTTGAAGGAGCAGCCTTTCGACCAAGGTCCCTGATGCCCAAGATCGAACAGTTTGAATTTTGAATTGTTGGAGGGAAAACGGTTCCCAACAGTTACCAAGCACAACGTGGCGTGGAAGCAGGCGTCGAGGGTTGTGAATGTGCTATGTGGTGTCACCTCGAAGCAATGTAACTGCCCAGCAGTTACTTAGGATTTTTAGTATAAATACTAAGTGTTCACGTAGTTATGGAGGGTGTTCATCATTGTATACAAGTCAGTCATTTAGATTCAAGTACCCAACGTGAGAGAAAGAATCATTGAGAATGTATGTGTGAAATACCATTTACCTTAATCGAAATCTTTTACATTCAAGCAATTTATCGCTTTCACTTATTTATCTCAGTCGAAGTCATTTATTTAACAAGCCTTTAATGCTTTTATTTACTTTATCAAGCTTTTCTCAATGCAATTTACTTAAAGTGTCTCTACTTTACTTGCGTTAATCACCATTAGGGTTAGTCGAAACTCTCTATTTTAAAGCATTTAAACTCTCTAAAATCATCCATGTCTTAGGATCAATATGATCGATCCTGTGAGTCACCAAATAAGTTACCTTTTGGAAGATCAGCGGTTGTTTACCATTTTTCACGGTAAACAACTGTCCAGTTCTATTGTGTCAAGAAAAGTGAAATCCTATTGGTCCGACAGGGTAAAACAATAAATTATTCTGAACAATAAAATTAATGCAAAAGAACTATTATGCTGAATAAAACAAAGAGATTTGTATTCTTATCATAACAAATCAGGGGCACCCCTAGCATTAGGGGGTTTAGCCTCTCATAGAATTCAAAAGAAAAACAATACAAATGATAGAGTTAGACATTACAAAAATGATGGATTCTTCGATCTTTAATCGCTATCGCGCATGAAGGATTCTCCGTTTCCCAAGCTCTTGAATCTCCACTCTTTTATTGTCTTAATTTCTCTATCATCCAAAAAGTGCCTACTCTTTTTTCTAAATCAGGTATTTGTAGTATTAGATTATCCCGCATCAGTGCTAAATGTCCAGAATACCCTTAATGCTCCAAAACACTTAAAAATTCCAAGAATTAGAATTTGTAGCGCCCAAGCTGACACATGCCGTGTCACAGGACACTGACACCCGTGTTAGCATTTGTGATGTCCTTTGCACCCTTTTTGCTCAACTGAATTGACATGGGCTGTGTCGTGTGACAGGGACGCCCGTGTCACCCTCTGCCTGGATTTTTAACACCTTTGTTCTTATCTTCTCCTAACACGGTCCGTGTCAGGTGACACGGGTGGCCGTGTCAGGGTTTCTGCAACTTCCATATTTCCTTCGCATTTGCACAAATTCTCCAGAGATCTTTACGTGCACCTGAGATTACCAACAACTATCAAACTAAACCATCAAAAGCATCTAGCCGACATAAAACTCAAATAAAAACCACACAAAGATAAATTTGCAAAATATAAAATAAGTTAAACAAAACGATAAAAATATAAACCAAAATGTTACAAATTTGATGAATTTGTACCGAATAAGTGACAGAAACAAAGTAGAAATGGTGACCAATCAAACACTCACCACTTACCCCGTGATTTCTGCAGCAGTCTTCCCTTTAATCAGATTCATCATATCTTGATATTATTCACAATTAGTGCAAGTATCCAAATGATGCAATCGCAAATGAGGCAACTCTTACTCTCATCTCACGAGTCGATACAAACGAATATAAAAGTGCTTTTCCATCTAGACTCGGCGTTAAGATAAGCTGCAAAATCAATATGAATTGTATAAAAATCAAACCAACTTATTGTTTTTCAATAATCTCATACTTTATATAGCTTTTGTAATGGTAGAAAAATAAAATATAAAAAATGAAAAGAATATTTATTTACATACATCATTCTTGATATGGAGATTGTTAATCATGATTCATGCAGTTTCCATTAATGGTTTTGCAAGCTTAGCAAGCATCAAATACTTATTTCATTGGTGTCCCAATCAAAACCAAGTTGCACGACTCGCTGTAAAATACAAATATAATCTCTTTAATAAAATCTCATATCTTGTGATTAAACATCTAAAAAGTAAGATTTACTACTGATATTTGAAATGTGAAGAGAAATAAAACTCGATCGCCGATATTTGACCACCACATACCTTGCAAGGTCAAACCGTTTTTGAAATACTAATAATAAAGTGTCATAGAAAAACCAAAAATATAGAATATTACTTACAATAAGTCTTGGTTTCCGGAAAGTATGTTGAATAGGATGGAGCAGAGGCGATGAAGTTTCACCCCGACTATAGCTTTTAACCTTGATGAAATCTTGGGGTTAAAATTATTAGGCCGTATTTCTATCAATAATTTATTCAGCCATGTACACAGCCAGAGGGTCTCTTAACTTGGCAATAACAATTTTAGTTGCCTTTACATATGATTTCTCAACATCTATGGAACAAAATTTGTCCAGAGTTTAATGCATTTAGAGCATAGTAAAACAGGTATCTTAGATGATTCTCTGACATTCAGATATTATTCTGTACAACTGAACACATGATTTTAAAGAGTATTTCTCATTGTCGACTTTGTAACTCTAAAATTATCTGATTGTGTAACCACTCATCCATCAAAATTTGTGTCGGGATTCGTAAAATGTCTTGGCTGGCTTGACCAATAAGGTCACTGTACCATCTTCCAATCCATATGTGAAACCCCAGATTTGTCGCTGTATCACATATTTTGGTTGATACCCTGTTTCTCCTTCTTGATGTCGCATATTCTGTCTAAGTCTGACCATGTAGATTAATGATGGATGGATTATTTTTGAATTTAAAAATAGAACGGCTATAGATTAATGATAGATGAACCTTTTAGAAAGAGATGGAAGAAAAAGAAAAACTGTCGTAGAAGGGTGGAAGAAAAAGAAAAAACTGAAGAAAGGAATGAAAAAGGTTTAGAACGCGGTATCTGAATGAATAAAAAAATCGAAAAATAGCATAAAATACCAAAGATAAAAATGATATTTGGAAAATCAGTATTTCTTACCATGTTCTAACAAAATCGAAAAATAGCATAAAATACCAAAGATAAAAATGATATTTGGAAAATCAGTATTTCTTACCATGTTCTAACAAAAAAATAAACTGTTCCGCCACGTAGGTTAAATGGCAACAAACAATAAATACCCTTAAAATGCAAAAGAAAGTACAATAAGAAAATTTCGCACGAAACACTTCTTCTTCCCAATTTTCATTGCCTCCGGAAGAGAAAAATCTGTCACGAACTCACTCACTCACGGTTATCTTTCTCTTTATCTCTCAATTCCTGTATTTCCGTTTCCGATTACGATTCAATCATCTTCCATTTCCCCTTTTCACGCTTTCCGATCTTCAATTCACAAAAATCAAAATTCAATCACCGCATCTTTTGATACAAATTCGTTAAACCTTTTTCAAAAATTCGATCCAGAATTAGGTTTTGATCATCCAAATTTCACGATCAGAGAGAATTTCAATATATAAAAACTTGTTGTTTTTGTGGGTGAAACCCTAACGATTTTGATTGTTTTTGAAAATCATCAGATGGCGTTACAAGGAAAGCTAGATAGATTCAAAAAGCAGCAGGAGAAATGTCAAACAACGCTATCGAGCATAGCAGCTACCAAGACTGCGTCTGCATCGATGCCGAGTTCTCTTGTTCCTGTCAAATTTTCAACTGATACGGAGAGGCTTCAGCATATTAACAGTATACGTAAAGCTCCCGTTGGAGCTCAGATGAAACGTGTTATTGATCTCCTTTATGAGGTACCAAATTTGTGTAGATCATGTACTAGTACAAGTTACAATCTTTATTTATGTTGCGCCCGCTTTGTGATGTTAATGTTACAGAAAATTGTGGTCAAAATAGTGCTATTTATGCAGATGCAAATGCAATTATGGTGTTGTCACCGAGATATCAGAAAGCTAGATATTACAGTCACAATACAGTATTTTATAGCATGTGAGAAGAGACTTAAGTTGTAAATGTCCGTGTTTAGATAAACAACTTATAAACACATTATAAGATGTTTTCATAAGCTCTTCCAAATAGTTTCACTTGTACTTAGGTCAATAGATGATCTCAATTAAGTTAATATGCTATATCAACCACTGGCAGTTCCTCCTATCACAAGAGGGACCTATACTGAAATTGTTTCTTCAAGCCTGTAAATTAATAATGTTTAACAGGAGTAATTTTATGGATCACCTTTAGTGGTATTCATTCTTTTCTCTCAAGGATCCACCTTTAGTGGTATTCGTATTATAAAAGCTTAATTTCAAAATCACGTCACAGTTTAGGAAAAGTTCTGCACTGCTTCTTGTACATGATATTATACAAGTATGTATGCTTTTATGTTGGTCATCTGGAAGCTCTTTTGTGCCTTGATTGGTGGTTAATACACCTTTTCAACCAATGGCTAGCTTCTATTATGGTTGATGGGTATGTGCATTTTGCCATGGATACTTACTTAGTGCTTGTGCGTGTGTTTTCTTAATAGACTCGGCAGGCTCTAACATTGGATCAAATAAATGAAACATGCCATGTGGACATGAGAGCTAACAAAGATGTTTTTGACAATATGAGGAAAAATCCAAAAGTAAGATATGATGGAGAAAGATTCTCTTATAAGGTAACTTTTATTCTTGCTTATATGTAAACCTTCATGTGTTTGATTTTGTTCACTTTGACAATAACGACTTCTTCTTTTATACTACTGTTTTGGTTCATGATATTTGACATTGCTTTTGGTCTATAGTCGAAACATGCCCTTCAGGACAAAAAAGAGCTGCTTTTCCTAATACGCAAATTTCCAGAGGGAATTGCTGTTATTGACTTGAAGGATTCATACCCAACTGTGATGGAGGACTTGCAGGTAAATTAGTTTTGTTTGCTAATTTTATTATTTCTTGATATTCGTTTTTTTGATACATTGGTGAAATTTAATCATAGATAGATGTCTAACTCCCATATTGCCTCGAGCTTACTGAGCTACTATTGTTATATCAATAATTTGATTCCTTCATTGTTTATGCACAATGAATTTTTGGGGAACACATTTATGCCAAAATAATACTAACCAATCACTATACCTATGAAAGAAGCTCAAATGTTATAGTCAACACAAGCCGATGGATATAAGAATAAGATGTTGCAAGGGACAAAATAGAATAGACAAATATGGTTGGAAACTCTTTATCTGGAAAAAAAAAACGATCCAACTAATCATTCACAATTATATAGCTATGATTTTATTATCCTGAGTATTCCCTCTCCCTCCCTTTGTATCTGAAATACTAACCTATAACTTTAATATAATACCAATGTGCTTTCATCCACAGTTCCCTCGGCCATCATCATCTCCTTGACTATTTTTTTCTTGTTATCCATGCACAAATTTCTGCCACCTTTTCTATCATTATCTCTCTATGTGAGCGAATTTTTCTTCTATTTCCAAAACTTATATTAAAAGCCTTGGATCAACTTGTTTCAATGCCTTTTATGGGTTGTTCCTGCAACCCCGGTCTATCACAATCAAATGAAGTTTGATCTCAATTATTCCAAATGTGGTATAGCCCTAGCTATCCCAAATGACCGGCTATCCCTTAAAAGCAATTTGGCCTAGCGGCTATATCAAAAATAGACTGGCCCTGTGTCTATCCTATGGAACTAGTTCTGCTGACAGTTCCAACCCAGAGTCTTAACTGTAAGTGTATGTGCACCCTCTATTTGGTAGTGTTACAAATGCCACCCTCAATAGCTTATCTGATTTGTCTATTCATTTATCTTTATATTAATCCTCGAGAGTTTTGGATATTTCATTCAATGACTATTTAGGCAAGTTCATATTATGGATGAGAATGCTAAGGAGTTGTTCAGAGAAATATTCTATTCAGTTTCACCAACCTTAATGTGACTTAATGTGAGTTATTAGTTATACAAACCACTTAAATCCATTAAATCTATTTGTAGAACAAAGCCACCAAAGTATACTTCATTTTAGTGAACTTGTCTCTTTCACTCGACTATTTTTCTCCATTTGTTTTATTCTTTTGAAAGATCACACTCATTGTATCTCTGCTGCTTAGAGTTTTACTCGGCCCTGAAATATCAATACAACTGTGAACTGTTTTAGTATGCTTTTACTGAAAAGTGAAAAAAATTTATTAATCTGCAACATCTATACTTAGTTGACTGGCTGTGGTTAGTGGGGATGATTTTTAGAGGTGGTCAAGAGTCAAAACTTAGTTATATAATTTGTTTCTCGTGGAAATAAGATCTCATAAAGCTTTCAGTTTATAGGGTTTGAAAGCTGGCAGGGAGATTTGGCTGCTGTCCAACTTTGATTCTCAGGAAGACATTGCCTACCCTAATGATCCTAAAGTGCCCATTAAGGTGGATGATGACCTAAAACAGGTTTTTCGTGGGATTGAATTACCCCGTGATATGATTGATATAGAGAGGGATCTCCAAAAAAATGGAATGAAACCTGCTACTAACACTGCAAAGAGGAGGAGTGCAGCACAAATGGAAGGCATTCCATCCAAGCCTAAACCTAAGAAGAAGAAGAATGAAATCACCAAGAGGACCAAGCTGACTAATGCCCATCTTCCAGAGCTTTTTCAGAACTTAAAGAACTGATCTAAATAAAGAACTCCTGATCTTAGCAACTCATAGCATGTGTTGGGCGAATTCTCATAATATATTTAATGTTGTAAAATTGATCATGTGTTTAGAGAGTCTTCCCGTATCCTCAAGGATATATCTTTTTTTATTGTATTAGCTTACTTCCACTGGTTTTGGACATATCCAATTTGTCAAAGAAACAATTTTCCACAGCACATTGCAAATTCAAGGCACTCCGTCCAGGCTTAAATAAGATTCTTAAATAAAAGGGCAAAGGTAGCCATAGCTCCTCTTCTGGTAGTTTTTTTGACCTCAAGGCCGGATGGTTTAAACAAAGGGCTGAAAATGGAGCAGTGTGAATATATTGAATATGTTCTCATTCATACGTCTTACCTCTGGAAATGAATAAATGATATTTAACATTTTGTATGGATGTTTGATTATGTTTAAATATTTGCATGTTATTCAAATCTTCTTGGCAAAATACTTGCTTGTAGTTTTGTGTTATGAAAAGTTATTGTGTTCATTGTGCAATTGTGAAACGTGAAATTCTTTGTTATAAACTCAAACAATACATATAGGAACAGATGATGCATAACAACAGTTCAAACCACACTTTAAAAGTAAACACAATCAAACACCAAGTAACCAATCCATCAAGAACTCGGTCCTTTTTATTTGCTTTAAAATAACTTAACTGCTAAAGCATCCTAAAAATTTCTTTGGTGCAACTCCACGGCTACGAAACTTTGCAGCTGTCTCTTCTAGGTCAAGAAATTCTTCCCTTTTTTGAGCCTCAACAATTGCCCTTTTCTCTTCAGCATACTGATGGATTTCAGCTATGTCATTTTTCATTCTTAAAACAAACTCAGCCTTCTTTCTTTCCAAATTTTCCTGTTAATCAAAACGATTTTTGTGTTAACAATGAGTGAAACAACTTGTATTTGAAAAGAAAAACAGTCACAATGCGTGAAGTGCGTGTTTGGTAAACTTTAAAACTACCGTGGGACAAAAGCTATAACTTGTAGAGTTCAATAAAGGTTCATTAACTGTTTGAGTCCTACCAAGGTTCCTCAAGGTTGAAACAACAAAAGAAGATACATGATATATGAATTAATTACCTCAAATTTCTTGAGTTGGGCCTCTATTGAGGCTTTCTTGCTTTCCTCCCATAATCCAACAGCCGATTGCTTCTTGTATGCCCTGTGTGATAGTTTCACTTTTCATCAAACTCAGTTTTCAAAATACATAATGAACATGTAGATTTTATACGGCATTTAATCAAATATTGACATTTGTACATGACTAAAAATTGTATTTAATCATAACTAGTTATGTGAATGAAGTATGCATTCTTTAATAACTAGCTCCAGTTTTTCAGGATCCATTCCACACTTCAATTCAAAGTCATGCAAACTCACAAGAAATCTCATAAAAGAGTATATACTAACAAAGACTAAAAAAAAAAAAACAAAGAACCTTATTGGTATCTTCCAAAATACACAAAGAAGCTTGTAGTTATTAATGGAGCCAAATAACTTCTAGCTACACGTCAACATGGTTCACCAACATTTTCTTGTTAACCAAGTTTCTAATAAATTTGCAAAAACCCAAGACAGAATGATGATTAAAATAGTCATCATAGATTCAATTCAATAGATTTATAGTATGGTTTCTTGCCTGTTTTCCGCCTTTGTCTTTTCACTATCTTCCCATGCCTTAATTAAAGCCAATCTTTTCTCTGCTACAATTTTTGCAAGCCCAGCATCTAATCAAACAAAATCAAAACAAAGTCACCAATAATATTATTATACATATGATAATTTATACAATTTTTTTTGCTGAAAATTACCTTTGCCTGTTGAATCCTTAGTATCCTTTTTATCACCTTCGTCCCCTATTTCCTTATTATCAGCATGATCTTCTGCAACCTCTGAATATAAAACATAATGGAATGAATGAATTAAATAAAGTAGTACATATATACACGCGCGTGCGCATGACATGAGAGACTTACTCTGATCATCAAGTGTAGATGTGACCAGTTGATCAGCCTCCTGGTTAACAATATCTGATTCGTTTTCTTGAACCGGGGAACACTCTTCAGGGACAGGGTCCAGAGGCTGTGGCTGTTGTTGCCATTCAGTTTTGTTGATGCTGGAATCTTCTAGTTCTAATTCTCCCATGTTTTGTTTTGTTTTGTTGGGTGGATGAATATTATGATTTAGAGTTGCATTAAGCTTGAATATATAGAACTAAGCAAAGAGCAAAAAATGGTAGTAAATACTAAGTACAGAAGAAGTTTGGAGATAACAAGGTAACTTGACAGGGTGGTTTTTTGTTTGACAGACGTAAGGGAGTAGGGAAGTTTCACAACAAATGTGTGCGGATATTCACGATCTTGTTACTTTTTTTTTGTAGTTACTGTTGTTATTACCTAAGTTTTATGACATCTGTCAAAATAACTAGTTGTTGAAATTGAATCTTATTTCTTAGCTGTTAATTTCTTTCAAGTATCTTTCTTTTTTGTAAGTACCTTGACATATGATTTTCTACAACTTCTTTATTCTATTGTTTGTATTCTTGTTTTTGTTAGTGAGTCATAAACTCACTTGAATTTAACATTCATTAAACATTTGAATTAAGCAATCTTCACCCTCACATTTGCTTAAAGAATAGATAGTCTCAATCCTCCATTTTTCTTGATATTTTTTTTTTGTTTGGAAGTTTTTCAATGATTGCTTTTTCTTGATTAAGTTGGTTTACCGTGCTTTGTTTATGAGGTTTTCAATGTCCCTCAGTTTCTCTACGATTTAGATGTTTCAAGGTCCTCCGAAAGTTCAAAAATTATTTTTGATAGACCATTCATGAAAAGCTTGTGAGTAAAAACATCTCATTTTAACGTTTTTTTAGAACTCTCTTAAAATATTAGATGTTTTAGAATATATAACGCCCTAAACTCTAAAATATTTATTATTAAATATAATAAAATAATATTATTGAGGTAAATTAAAAATTAAATCAATATAGAAATAAAAGACAAACGGATAATAAGATGTACCGCTATTCATTTTTGGATCGCAAAATCAACCATTTTAAAAAATTACATCTATAAACTATTTAAAAGATACAACATTTTTATTCATAAATCTTAAAAGATACAACTATTTAAGATCACTTTTGAAGTTTTCGATCTCTTTCTTGCAGCTATATGTTATCAACAAGTCATCGACATAGAGACATAGTATAAACAATTCACTTTTGTTTTTTCTTACATAAAATTCATGCTCACTTGTGCGCTTCATAGATTTCTTCTCTCTTAAGAAACTATCAATATTATTATTCCAAGCTCTTGAACTTGTTTAAGTCCATACATGTCTTTATGCAACTTGCATATCTTTCTTTCTTTGTCTTGTTTCACAAACCCAATTGATCGTGCAATATGAATTTTTTCATCTAAAGGGCCATTCAAGAATGTACATTTCACATCTATCTGACACATAAACCAATTGTTCATGTTTGTTAGATCAACAACCAACCTAATTGTTCCAATGCTAGCAATAGGTGCAAACATTTCATCGAAGTCGATTTCTTCTTTATGAAAAAATCCTTTCGCCACAAGTCTAACCTTGTGTCGAGTTACTTCTCCTTTTTGGGATTCAACTTCACCTTGTATACCCACTTGACATCGATTGTCTTCTTGCCTTGAGGCAATTCGACAAGTGACCAAGTGTTATTGACTTCGATGGACTTCACTTACTCATTCATAGTTTTTATCCACTTTGAATCCTTTAATGCCTCAGCTGCATTGACTGGTTCGACATCTGCATAAAAAGTATAGTGTACCTATAACACCTTAATTTCCCGAAGTAGTTTATAAATAAAATCATAATAATTTAAAACAATTAACCAATTAGGATACTATTTTCTCAACAAACTACACATACAAATAGATATATAACACATACGATAATTAAAGAACTTAATAAGAGTCTAAACTTCAACACTTTATTAGCAGCGGAAAGGCGTCAACAAAATTTGGTTTTTACTTATCAAACATGAGTTATAACAACAAAAATCATAAAGAGTTATCCATATAAAAATTATCTAACAACGGAGGCATACACATAATTTTCTCCCAACATGAACAAAATAAGTGTCAACCCCAGTGTTACATACCCGAGCAGACACCGACTCGACAAACGCATAAAGAAGAGCATCCTCTTCCACTAACTTCCACACCTCTACTCTTGAGTATCTACACATTATCCACGTGGATGCAACATTCAAATAGAAGAGGTGAGATTCAAAATTATATAATGAAATGCATAATAATATGTAAGAATATAATTATATCAACACAATCACCCATTCAACAATCCACACACCACACAATCCGACATAACAACGCATTATATAAACACACTCCATACCATCCAAATATTATAATAAATGATATATGCAATGCAGTGAGATATCAATCATGAATTCTCAGGTTCATCTCGCTCCAGATCCCCGTCATGGGATCAGAGCACATAAAAAATCGCTATCATCACCATATATAACACTTTACTAATCACCCATTATAGGAATTAGCTACTCGCACTCAATCTCCACCAAAGGATTGAGGCTCACCAAAAATGGACCACCATCCAAACACCATGGTGTATGATTCATCAATGACATGTAACAACAATAAATGTGTACAATGATATTCACCCCATTATACTAGCGCCAACCACCAAATACCAAAATAAATGTTACATGCATTCAACCCACACACCGAATCACACCACAACATACAACCACACACCTTAAAACACCATTACACATCATTTAATTTATTTTCAGAAATTGAAATTATTTTAAAATGAAGGTACATTATATCAGCTTGATAACACTTCAAACGACACATCAATCGAATACCTGAAACTCAAGTTATGAATTTATTTATTTTTTAATATACAGTAGCGGTAACAAGTTACACCAAAACGTGTAACCGGTTACATCAAGTCCAGAAACAACAAATGCATGATTTTCCAGTGGTAACCGGTTACACCAAAACTGATAACCGGTTACACCTCATAAAATATCCAGTTTTTAGAATTTTAGAGAGCGTAACCGGTTACACCAAAACTTGTAACCGATTACACCTACAAAAAAATGATTTCTTTGAAAAAAATTCAGACGTAACCGGTTAGGCCAAAATCCGTAATCGGTTACCACTTAACCAATAGCAATTTTATGCAAGTTTTAGGTTATGGAAATCAGTTATATACCAATCCTAAAACCCCAATTTTTGTGAAAGATCATGTATCCAAATTCTACACTTTGTTTTCCAGTAACACACATCATTCACATCATTCCACAAACACCAAATCATCCAATTATACCACAAACACCCAATTCATACAATATACAACACAATCACATCATGATACATCAAAATACACAAAACATAGAGAAGAAAATAACAATCCTAAAGAAATTAGAACACCCACCCACATAGGGATGTCAATGGGGCGGGGCGGGGTCGGGGGGACACTTCCCCATCTTTTTCTCCGCCATCAAATTCATTCCCCGTCCCCGTCTCCGTCCCCGATCTCCGTCACGGGGGAATTTCTATCCCCATCCCCGTTCCCCGCGGGGATCCCCATAGATCCTACATTTATTCATTAATATTTTATTTTTTTAAAATGTTTATATTTTTTATAAAAATAAAAAGCACAAAGAATTCACATATTTATTATGTTATTAAAAAATACTAGTATTTGACATTTATTATTTTTTATTAAAAATACTAATGGAACACAAAAATAATAATATTTTTTTTATAAATTTCTATAAAATGCTATAAAATTCAACAAAATGAACTATAATACTTTTTAAAGTAACAATATGCCTAAACAACTAAAAAAATCTAACAACATAATTATGCTTAAAAAACTATACTTCATCAAAACTAATAAGGGATAATTATAAAATTTAGCATCATGAGTATGCTTGAAAAGCTAAAAAATACTTCATAATAAGTCAACTAAAAGCAAAAGTCAACATATCTCTATTTGCTCAATTGATAACACACGTAAAGTAGAAATATCAAAATACTTAAAACAAAGTTACATATAAATAAACTAAAATATTAAGCAAAATATCCAAACAAGTAATGATCAATCATGTCTCTCTTTCCAACTTCTCCTTGCAAGGTCTTCTTCCTCATTCCACAATTAGATATGACTTTCTTTTTCCTACGAAAAGTAAACAATCAATAATTATATTTACTTAAAAAAATACTTTAAAAACTAAAAGGTAATCAACACTAATATGTAAATTACCTTATTATCATCATCATCATCATCATCATCATCATCATCATCCATATCTTCATCCACACATTCGAATTGAGTCAACGTTTTTGAATAACCTAAGAAACAAATAGCTAAATTAAAATTTAAAAATCCTTTTCAATTAATCTTGTAAAAGATAAAAATATATTACCTTTTATATCTTTTCGGATCCAATCTTGAGTGCACATCAAAGCCTCTAAAGTGTCTTCCTTCAACCTACTACGTTGTTGACTTAAAACACGACCACTAGTACTAAAGGCGGACTCTGAAGCAACGGTAGAGATAGGAATTGCTAAAAAGTCCCTTGCAATCTTTTGCAAAGTTGGAAATTTCAAACCATTTTGTTTCCACCATCCTAAGATGTCAAAATTTTCCTTTTTTTGTTTATCAAGCAAGACACCATCTTCCAAGTAGGAAGTAAATTCTGACTTGACATTTGTAGTTGAAGTATTTTCCATCACATATTCCGAATAAGCCTTCTCCCAATCTTGACTTGTGACATCAATGTCATCTACCAATGTTGATGCACCAACTTCACTACTTGTAGGAACCATATCATTATTTGGTTGATATTCTTCAACTAAATCTTCACACATTTGTATTACCTTTTCCAATTCTTTGGGAGCATTATTCTCATACATAAGTGGGAAGAAGTAATTCAACAAAGTTATTTTATATCTAGGATCCAAAACAGCCCCTATTGCCATCACCCCATTAATCAAACTCCAATATTTGTCAAACTTCACTATCATACTTCTTGCCATACTTTGTATAGTATCACTAGAAGAATCTTCCCACTTTCTTAAAGCTAATCTTATTTGACAAACTTTGGGAAAATA